TACAGATTGTTAATAAATTTGGATAGTTTCGAAAGGTATCCCCGGGGAAGGATTTCTTGCAAAGATCTTATATCAAAACTTAAGCAAGAAACTAATTTCAAGATATACTAAGGCGATTATGATATCACTGGGTTTGTGCAAGTTTTGCAGATATGAGCTTATGTATACATTTCCTCTATGGGAAGATCTTTAGGTTATCCTCTACCGAATGCTGCAGATTGACTGTTGGGGTCGGATCCCACACATTTTTGGTAGGATCCACTTGGATCTGTCCACGTCATTATTACATAATAATCCTCTTGGAGTTAAAGATATTTTATTATGAGAATCAAGCTTGACCAGTCGGGAGTTTGATTCGTTTTATTAAAAGAGTTTGATCTTTACCAGTACGGAGTTCAATCTTATTCAACATACAATTCACATAGAGAAAGGCCGAAGCGATGAGAATATTGTTCGAGGTTCGCGGCAGCGTCAAGATGCGGGAGTTCGGAGTCAACAAGAAAGAGTTTGGAAGATCCGCGCAAAGCCCAAGATAGTTCAAATTCAAGCCGTTTCGGTCAAAATGTAACTTACATGATTAATGCGGATCAATGCGATTATGAGCAGTAAATGACCGCATTGATTATGTTTTCTCTATAAAAACAACCTCAAACGCATGTGTTAGACAGAGGCGAATTATTCATTACTTCTAAGCGATACAATATATTTTCTCTCTTTACTATCTTTCGCAAGGCATTTTGTACTTCGTCTTTATCAATTTTTTCTTCATTTCTTTTCTTGGTAGATTTCCTTTTCAAATTCTCATATTCATTTCCTGATTTTACAAGAGTTTTTCTCCACAAAAATACTTAAAGATAATCGAGTGTGAATCCTACATCCACATTTTGGCGCCGCCTGTGGGGAGTTACCACAAAACTCTTTAATCTCAAAATCTTTCTTTCCCAACCAAGAAACTATGGCTGATCAGCAAGCATTGAGCGATGCAATTACTTTGCTTACTCAGACAACCACCGATCTGACCAATCAGATGGGTACACTTGTTACTGCCTTTGGTGAATGGTTGAACTCAATCGAGCAAACCTTAACAAGTGTTCAAACCACCCAGACGAATTTGTCAAACGCGCAGAACGCTGTTTCAAGCCGTTTAGATAATTTGTCCTCAGCGCGAACAACATCGCGTCAGCGTAGGTTATTCGCGACTCCCGGGATTAATCAAACTCCTCCAGGAGGCCAGCCAGAAAGCACTAGCAATCCGGCAGCCGTGGGGGATGCAACTAACCCAACCGGGGAAGAAATTCCCCAGGGACAGGGAGATCCTCCTGTTGACGATGGATTTTATATAGAAGATCCTGATGTCGCCCTATCAGACGATTTTATCAAAGTTCGCCAAGAGCTTAACGAAATGAAGTCGAAATTTCATCAGGCTATAAGTTCGGCGCCTGAGATCGATCGAGTAATCGAAGAAACTCGTCGAACGCACTTTACCTCGAGAATCTCGAACCTTCGGATCAAAGATTCTCGAAAGGTTAAATTACCAACTTACGATGATAAAGGAGATCCTAAAAATCACCTCGCTGCTTTTCAGATTGTTGTAGGCAGAGTTGATCTAGAACCAGGAGAGGAAGATGCCGGATTTTGCAAATTATTTTCCGAGAATCTTTCCGGACCAGCTCTGTTATGGTTCACTCAGTTAGAACCAGAAACTATTGATAGTTTTAAGGAATTGTCCTCAGCATTCCTAAAACAATATTCTATGTTCATGGAAAAGGCAACTTCTGATGCGGATCTTTGGAATTTAACCCAAGGTCAGAATGAACCACTTCGCAAATATATCACTAAATTCAAAGAAGTGATAGCCAAAATTCCTGGGGTATCGCACCCAGCTGCCCTTTTTGCTTTAAGGAACAGACTCTGGCATGAATCCTGATTTCGGGAAGAAATCATCGTCAATCGTCCGAGTACCATCCAAGATGCTTTATTCAGAGCTACTAATTGGATGGAGGCAGAAGAAGAAAAGCTCAGCCTCGCTAAAAAGCATCGGCCAGCTAAATTAGTCGTTGCGAATCCAACTAAAAGGTTCGAACCAAAAGATCCAAAACGGTTCAGAGTTAATCCTGCAACTAATGCTGTAGGAAAACCCTCTCCAGGCGGAGGAAGGTACAATCCTCCTAATACTTGGGTTAGAGATGAAAGTGCCTATTGTGATATTCATAAAGTAAACGGGCACTCCACCAAAGATTGCTGCATACTCAAAAAGCACCTCACCGAACTGTGGGCAGCTGGAGAGCTCGCTAATTTCAATATCGAGGAGTTTGTGGAATCTTAGCACAAAGAAAAAGAAGATTCCGAAGCTTCTAATCCTCCGGAAAAGAAACATAAACCCAATGGGCCTGGAACTCCGAATACTCCTAAGAAAAGGATAGATGTTATAATGGGAGGATCCAAATTATGCCGAGATTCGATCAGATCAATCAAAAGGCATAAAAAATCAGCAGCAATTCAAACCGCTGTGGGAACGTCATCAACTTGAAAAAATTCTATTGCTAAAGCAAACACAATCGAACTACGATTTGGCTTGATCCTATAATGGGTACGTAGGCAGCTCGCTAAACACGAGTCCAGCTATAACATAAAAGTAAAAATATTATTCCTATCATGGAGTCTTGTTTTTATAAATTCAATATTCGAGCATGAATATAAAAATACATTGCGAACGATGTATAGATGAATAAGCTAGAACCAGATCTAGAAGGGTCCGGAACAACTTTGCTCCTTGACCTGCGAGGTCAAAGATGCTCATAATACAACCTGGCATGTTTCCGTACTCTTGAAGTCCTAGTTCGATCCAGTCCGAAGGATGGGCTTCGAGGCGATGAAACTCGCGAGCAATATCGAGGCGACGCTTCTCTAGTTCCATGATCCTATGTCTAATCTCTTGTTTCTCATTTTCGAGCTCGTCGTGCCGAATGATAAGCTGAAGAAAATGAAATGCTTAGTTTAGCAATAATAAAAAGACTTAAATCACCGGGTTTTACAATACCTTGGTAATAAACTCCTCGGCCTTGGCACGATCTTGAGCCGATAATTTATCAATTAACACGTTTGGAACTTGAATGCTGGTTCCCCAACCTAGTGGGCGTGATTCTTCTGGTTCGTCGTTAGCTTCCGTTTTTACAAGATTGATGTTTGACGTTTCCGGAAGATCATCACTTATCACTTTAAACGAGTCGGAGGGATTCTCTGAGAAATTACCTTCCTCAAACATTCTTGTAGAATTATTGTTGATTAAATTCAATAATGATCTACGTCTGCTTTATATTCAAAATATACTTGACCGCATTTAAGAGGGTAAATTGACGATTTCACAAATATGAAATTACTACTTTTATGGAAAATGTAATCGAGTTAATTACTAATTATATTCCCTAGATAAACGCATTAAATATGATGAGTTAATCGGCAAATTTAAAGCAAAAGGGGAATGTAATTAATATTGTTGGGCCTCTAGCCCAATAGTTTTTTACATAATAAAAAAAAAAAATATATAATAATATATCAAGGGACTTGTTCGATCAGAAGTCTTCGCCCGATAACGATTCTAGCGAGATGGATGATCCCGAACAACTTTCTGAGGAAAGTCCCTCGTCGGAAGATAGATCGAGGGGACCGGAAGGATGATCAATAGATTTTTCCTCCGGTCCTTCGTTCTCTTCAGTTCTTAACATCGGAAATCTCCGAAATTCTGAAGAAGAACACGAAACAAACGAGGATCCACCGCCGGTAGCCAAGGATAGATGAAAAAATTTATCCAGCACTCGGAAGAATCTTCGGAGGCAAGTAGGAATAATGGCCACGATGTCTAAACCGTTCCTCTCCCATTCGTGCGGTTCAGATTCCAGGCGAAGGATCTCTCTTTCTATCCTCTTTATTCGCTCATTAAGAGCATGGCGCCTTCTTCCGATTCTTTTTCTCTTATCACATAAAGCTTTGTGTCTCCCGACGACCTTTTTGAACAAACATTTTGTTAACTGGTCGAAAAATAGTTTTTTGTCTCTCAAAAAAAAAAAAAAAACTAAAAGGGAACCTTTTCCAGGAAGTCATAACATTGGACCCTTTCTTTCCCTGTTCGGAAGTGGAAGAACGTGGGGTGAATAACTCCCTTGGGGGAAAATCCGTCCTCGGATTTGAACAGCGGATCCCCACTTGAGGTTGTTATTGTTGAGCTAGATCTGAAAGAGGATAGCGGCATAGTCTCGTTTTTTTTACAAAAAAAAACTACGAGTCTCTCAGGATTCTTTTTTAAAAAACAAAAAAGCGTTCGGACTCTCTAAAGGAATAATATATAATGGACCTGCTAAAGCAGATTTCGGGTCCAATTAGAACATGGCCCAACATTTTCGGAGCCATTGTTTAGGTCATGATCGAAACCATTACCTGGTCATTCTTATGACAAAATTCTCATGAATTTTAAAAACCTTATCCCTCGATAAAAAAACAACCTAAGCCGAGCTCTATCTTCGCACCCGAGAGACCGAGGAAAAATACTTGTTAAGGTTTTTTCTTTAAAAAAAGGCAAGTGAGCCTGATCAGCTCATCTCTCACAATTCATAAAACCTCTTTGGTGGGCTAGGACTTGCAAACCTAGAATCGCATCCAAACGTTTCATCTTTGAAAAAAATATATATATATATATATGTATATACATAATGGTGTTCAGTCACACTAATCAAAAACAAAACATTTCCGTCAAACGGATTAGTCCTTATGGATACAGCAAAACAATTCTTTAAGAGCGTCCCTCTGCCTCAGGAGAACCCTCGTGTGGCCTAGAACCTTCACCTACCTCGAATTGAGAGGGGGAATCCCCAAATACCGAAGAAATTTTTTTCAGATCGAGAATAGGACGGGAAGCCGAAGATAACTCGGATTCAACCACAGCGAGTTCGGCAGCAACTTCGCTCCTCTCGCTCTCGAACGAAACTCTTCCAGCCTTTAGTTCCTTAATCAGATTGAATAAGTTGCCTACCGAATCCCCTCATCTCTTCTCGAGCATTATGTTCGGCTTCAGCGATATTACGAACTCTGTTCCTAGTTAAAAGCTCGATCTCTTGATTCGCTTCTTCGAATAAAGCCGTATTCTCCTCTAGCTCAGCCTCCAAGCGAAGAACCTTAGACCTCGCAGAATCTCTTTCAGCATTCGCCATTCTGATGCGTTGTTCGTTAGCTGCTAGAGTTTTCTTCATATTTTCAAAAGATGACTCGAGTGGTTTTTCCCGTTCAAGTCGCTCAGATTGGTTGGGTAATCTAAGTTCGTCAACCTCTTTCTTAGCCTTTGCGGTCTCTCTCTTCGCTTGATGAAGAAGGTTCTCATAATGGAAGATCATTCCATTAGTCTCCATAAACGCCTTTGGAGTAAAAAAAAACGTGTCGTTTAGACATAAAGCTTTTACCTAAGGAAGGGAGGTTATCATAATCTAAAAAGATCCGAACCTGGGATAGGTAGCAAGCTCGATTGGCGAACATCTGACAGATTTTCGACCTCCAAACCGAAAAAGGAGGAAGGGATGCCCCTTCCCTGGTTTGGAAACTTCGGAAGATGTCTCCAATCGCTTCTCCGCCTGCGAAGCAGAGGAGAATAGCAGATTAATAAATAGATGCAATCTATAACAAGTTTTTCTAATGCTCGCTTCCCAAGTAAAAAGTTACCTGAAATCGAAGCGGGTAAAAGATTTTGAGTCCTAACACTCAGTCCTTGAGATAGGGGAGCCTCCGGTCTCGGCTCATCTATTTCCTCTGAAATTACTCTGTCTCCCGGAAGAGGGAGCTCAGAGTTTAAAGGTTCTGAAGAGGGAGAAACAGAACGTAGAGGGCTAGAGACTCGTGGCGGAGAACTTAATCTCACGGTTTTAAGTCTTTCGTTTGATAGATTATCGGAATCTGGAGCCTTCCTCTTTGTACAAGGAGAGGAGGTTATTTCTCCCTCACACCCTGGTTAGGAAGGGCAAATTGCGGTGGCAACTGGAGGGTCGTTAAGGATTTCGGCTCCATGAGAATCCACCGCGGCCGACAGGGCCGCTTCTAATGAACCATCATCGACCAAGAGGGTCTTCCTGTGGAAGTTACCAACCCTGGAGATTGCAGCTATCCGTTTCTTTCTCCCAATTTTGGATAACTGATCCTTAAGAGCCTTGATTTCAGCCTGCATCTTTCTTTTATCTCTAGCGTTCAGGCTCGAGACGTCTTTCTCCTCGGGAGGAGGATCGAGGGGGTGAGTCTGACCGTCTTTAATGGCGAGCCCCGCTTTATGAATGCGTTGGAGGGTGAAGGAATTCCAATTTGTTTCACCCTCGGAAACGATTCTGAAGAAGGCCAAGAAGTCAACAGTTGGGCGGGGGATCGTCTGGTTCCCTGAAACAAAGTGTTGGGTTAAGAATTCTATCTCTTTTACACGATACAGTGGAAAGTAATGAAGGTTGGATTTTTAACCAAGTTTAGCCGACCAATTGGCGAGAAGAAGACCGGAAAGACCTTGAACGGAATGGGGATTGACTCGGAAAAAGAACCAGTATTTCCTCCAAGGCGCATCATTCGAGGGCATCCCGTCGATCAGGTTATGGTCAAGGATAGGGTTTATAGAAAAAATACCAGCTGCTGCGGATTCACGGGCTCGAAATAGCCCTAAGCGTTAGCTGGTGGAGAGGGAAAACCCTGCTTCTGCCGAAACAGTCAGGGTGCTCAGAACCTATCGAAGAAAGTTGGGAGCCATTTGGGGAAAGGCAATCCCTAGGTGGAGGAGGTATAAAAGAAGAACTTCCGGTATGAAAAAAAACAAACCGCAACCTTTGAAATAGACTTCGTACGCACAACAGTAACCCTCTCGCACCACTTCCAGAGACTCGTTGGGTCTAGGAAGAGAGAATTCAATTTCCTGGGGGATGTTACAAAGACGACGAAGAGCACCAAGGGAAGCAGATGTTGATTGAGACCTAAAATGCGGACCAAATTTGTCTCCCCTTTGGGTGAAGACTTCGTCCCCTCTGGGAACAGGGATTCCTTGACTGTCATCTTCGTTGTCCGAAACATAGATGGCTGGGGAAGACATCTTTTACTAAGAGGTTTCTTTTTTTTTGGTTTGGTAAAAGCTTTAAGAGTTAAATGTACGCTGCTGTAAAAGCCGTCGTTCTATTTAACCTTATTTAGCAGAAAACCGCCTCGAGAATATTGGGAAGTGGGACGGTTTTCCCCGCAGTATTAATATAAAATTACAGAATTAATGATGACGGTTGTCAGAGATATCAAATCATTTGATTATCCGAGATCGGCGTAATAGCGTAAAACATGGAATAATTCCGGAATGTTAAAGATCTCGAGTCATTAATTACTGTTTACTTAAGTCTTCCTAGCCGAGCACTCAGCTCGCAAGACTTGGGGGGCTAAATGTTGGGGTCGGATCCCACACATTTTTGGTAGGATCCACTTGGATCTGTCCACGTCATTATTACATAATAATCCTCTTGGAGTTAAAGATATTTTATTATGAGAATCAAGCTTGACCAGTCGGGAGTTCGATTCGTTTTATTAAAAGAGTTCGATCTTTACCAGTACGGAGTTCACTCTTATTCAACATACAGTTCGCATAGAGAAAGGCCGAAGCGAAGAGAATATTGTTCGAAGTTTGCGGCAGCGTCAAGACGCGGGAGTTCGGAGTCAACAAGAAAGTGTTCGGAAGATCCGCGCGAAGCCCAAGATAGTTCAAATTCAAGCCGTTTTGGTCAAAATGTAACTTATATGATTAATGCGGATCAATGCGATTATGAGCAGTAAATGACCGCATTGATTATGTTTTGTCTATAAAAACAACCTCAAACGCATGTGTTAGAAGGAAGCGAATTATTCATTACTTCTAAGCAATACAATATATTTTTCTCTCTTTACTATCTTTCGCAAGGCATTTTGTACTTCGTCTTTATTTTTTCTCATTTCTTTTCTTGGTAGATTTCCTTTTCAAATTCTCATATTCATTTCCTGATTTTACAAGAGTTTTTCTCCACAAAAATACTTAAAGATAATCGAGTTTGAATCCTACATCCACATTGACCAAAGCTGCTAAGATTTCACGGTAGAGTTCGCCGGCTACCGACCGCGAACGTCTTCCAGAGTGAATCTGTATGTACATTTTCTTTGAGAGAGTTCAATTCGTTTCACGCATTATCTGGCTGATTATAATATATCGTATTGTGGAGATTATTATATTTTTGCCGACTATTTTGTCACTGCCAAAAGATTTTGTCACTGCCAAAAGGTTTTGTCCTTTGGCAGGCTTTATGCGGAATTTTCTTTATAACTACGTTTAACCAAAAATCTATGTGTTTGTAGTTGATTGTAACTAGTATGTGTGAGAGATCCCGCAGAGAAAATTATCTGACATTGCTGTATAACGATGACAAAAAGGATCCGAAGGTTGATAATAATCTCATCAATTATGAAAAATAGTTTCACATAGTTCTACTTTTGTCGTATTCCAGTAAGATTATTATTACGTACCCGTACAATTTATATTTCTAGTTGTACGATTGATTGAAGTCGCTAACAATGTAATTCAGAATGATTTACGCATTCATATGTTTAAAACGTAGATTTTTATAACTTTTTCATCCTTATTTTGTTAATATTTACAATGTGAGCTTAAAAGTATAGGAATGTACTGTGTAGATTCTTTCAAAATATATATAGTTTGTAATTTCATTTGTAACTTTTATAACGAATTTACTTTAATACTTTGTAACATTAAAAACAATGAATGTACTTGGATTTGCCTGATTTTTATGTTTCTCACATTATAGTTGTTTTAATTTTTATGAAGCTGACGAGGATTATCACGAGGATGGAAAAGAGAAGATAGATAGGAAGAAGTAGAACAAGAAGAAAAAACAGAAGAAGAAGCATTGTGGGACTCAAATAGAAAAGAAACTAGAATAAATTCCTTTGAATTGTAACGCTTTTGAATATATAAGTTTACGAGGATTATCATTTTCTTTTGTTTATGTATGTTCAACTTTTTTACCACATAACTTGATTATATTTGGCCCTAATTGATAGGCTTATATTAGGCTTTCTTACGTTGGAAATATTTAAAATAGAGATTGCAGAGAGTATGCTTATGCTATACCAAACTTGTGATTGTCAGCGTCTACGTAAAATCTGTTGGAACTCTGCGAAAGCATAAGGGTAGTTTACCAAACTCGCGAACCTTAGCGTCTATTAGAACTTTGCTAGAACGCTGCGGAAACGTAGGGTTTGTTAAGGGTAGTTTTGGTATTTAGAAAATATTGTACCATTTCAATAATTTTCTGTTATCGAGTTCCAGTATTTTAATTAATAGTGAAAAACGTTCAATTCCAGCCAATTTCTTCTTATTATAATACTTAACTAGGAGATGACCCGCGGTACACCGCGGGTTAATTTTTTTTGTTTTATAATTTTGTTATAAACCGATGAATTTGATGTATTAATTTTTTTCTGTTTTATTGGTACCGTAACGTAAATTTGATTTTGTACGGATTTTAATAAGATATAACTCTGTGATATTTTAAGTGTAATAGTATTTGGTTTTTATAGGGTGATTTTACCTTGCGGTACACCTCGGGGTTTCATTGTGTAACTAAACATTTAAATTTTTGTATTTGTTCTGTTAATTGTTTGTTATATTTTGTGTTTAATATTGTATAATTATATTTTGATTGTCAATTATATGATTTCACCCGTTGTAAACTGTCATATATTAATATCGATCCAAACTCGTCCCGTCATATAATTTCGTTCCGTGATTATTATTACAATTGATCTCTGAGTACAAGTGAACCATAACCAAGAACAAACTCTTATGTCTTATTTTTATGTGATGAAAATTTTGATTATTAATTTGCAATGAAAATTTTGACCGGTTGGTGTTATTATTTTGTTATGTAAGAGTATTAAAAAAATTATTTAAATATTTTTAGAAACTTTGATTATAAAAATGGACCTAATTTAAATGTATATAAAAGGATATAAATGAATAAAACAATCCTGTGCACCAAAAACAAATAACAAAACAAAAAGGTATGAGTATGTCCTTATTTGATTTTGTATTTAAAAGAAGTGAAGGAAAAAAAAAAAAAAAAAGACTGTAAATTATTTTTTTGGTCGGGACCGACACAGTTTTTATAACCAGAGAAAAAAAAATCTCATCTTTTTCGTGTCTTCTCGTTTTCTCCAATCTCAACTTTTTTTTCTTTCGAGATGATGGTTCAATTGATTTCACAATCCGATTGCACAAATTACTTCAAATAGATCCGAGGAATTCAAATTACATTACTTCCTTCGACTGTTCCATAATTCTACAGTTTCAATTGTTCACTTGATGAGAGCCAAAGTAAGTAATACCTTTCTTAAATCTTCCTCTTTTATCGACGAATCCATGTAATTATTTGCCTGATTCTTATAATTATATATTAGATTGTAGCTATGAATTAAAGATTGCATCACGACGTACGCCATATCTCTAGATCCTACCAATACTTCGAATAGATCCGAGGTATTCCAACCGAGTTTTTTTGTAGATTGAATAGAAGAATTTAAACTGGTTGAATTTGTTTTTTTGCAGATTGCAGAAACTAATGCTATAGAGGTGTTTAATATCAGGAGTTTATGCATCATTTTTTCATTACTCTTAAAAAGCTTCATAGGTTATTTTCTCAGTGTTTTGTATGTTCAAAAGTTAGCTTACTCAACTCATGTATATTTTTGAATTGATTTTTTTCTTTTTCATAGATCATTATCAAAATTGCTGCTGGGAATGGAGTTGGGCAAATTTTAGTTGGAAAGTAAGTTTCTTTAGCCATTTAAAGTTTCTTGGATAAAATACAATGCTCTAAGATTAGTCTTCCTAGCTTTTGGTTTACGTATGAAACTTTCTGCATCAAGTCAATTTTAAACTACAATGGAGTTGTAGATCTAGTTTGTCAGTTCCTCTTTCTGGTTTCTGTTTTTAATGCCATTGGGATTCTCGACTTTTTTTACTTATCAAAATTATAACCAAATAATTGTAGGGAAGACATTTTGTCAACCCCAGCAGTTACCCATGTAATCAGGAAAAGAAAGGCAAGCTTCTTTGTGTGAAAAACCGTGTTCTAAGTGTTACCACCATTTGTGTTACCACCAGGTTTGTTAAATTCAAGCCCTTATAAAGATATAGTTAGGTAGAATGGGAGTACAAATAATATGAGTTTTAACTATTGACGGTTATATGTTAAGTATTATTACTCAACTGAATATAAGATGGACTGTCCAAATTTACAGAATTTTATCCCAATCTATTATCAGAGTTGTGAAACTGAATTATTCATTAATTTAAACAATGAAAAGGAACTATATAATGTTCCTTCTAAAAAGAAAATGTAATTGCATTATGTAGTGGTTGCAATAGTGATTAATTTAACCGGATCTTATAGTCTCATGTGTATGAATATTTTTAAAGTAATGTCAGACTGTTTAAGTTAAATTAAAAAGGTCAATCACTATGAATTTAAACTGACGCAATTTTATCCTCATGGAATTTGCAGAGTGAAATGCACAAAAATTCCGGATTATTCTTTTATATCATTACACATGGACCATTCAAATGTGAGACCACCAGGTATGATTACTAAACTCCATTTATCTTATATAAGATAGTTAGTAATGAAAAAGATTAAGACTTTCTGAAGTAACTGAATCATGAAATAGATGTGCCACAAAGGAGCACTTATTTAAAACAACCATGAGAGAAAACCAAAAATAATAGAAAACTATCCTTAGTTTCAGATAGAGAATGGAAAAACAAAAAAAAACAAAACAAAACTCCAATCTAATCCCCTCACACACAGACACGGATCACTCCTTTTCAACCTTGACTGTTAAATATTGTAAAATGATTGGTAGCTGTTGTGTTTGGTGATGATAAATGGGGTTTGCGATTTTGGCTGGAAAACGGAGTTTTGCGTTTTGTGATTTTGGCGGAAAACATGGTTTTACAATTTTGGCGGGAAAATCTAGTTTTTGGAATTTTGGCGCAAAACTATGATTTTGCAGTTTTGACAGGAAACTGTGATTTTGCAGCTTCGGCGAGAAAACGTGGTGTTGCGATTTTGACGGGAAAACGTGTTTTGCAATTTCAACGGAAAACTGTGATTTTTGCTGTTTTGGCGGAAAACTGTGATTTTACGTTTTTGACGGGAAAACGTGGATTTGCGATTTTGGCGGGAAATCGTGGTTTTGCGATTTTGGCGGGAAAATGTGATTTTGTAATTTAGGCGGGAGCCCGTAATAATGCGGTTTTGGCGGGAAATTATGATTTTGCAGTTTAAAGCTAGCTAGCCCGCTATATATATATATATATATATATATATATATATATATATATATATATATATATATATATATATATATATTTTTTAACCCATCAAATCTTTTGAAAAAAAATACAAAGTAACTTTCGAATTTTGAAAAAAAAAATGGTTATTTAAAAGTAGGTAATCTGTGAAATTTTAGATATTATATCGTCCGAGAGACTAATCGTAGGAGCAATGTTGTTTTTGAGGTCACATGGGATAATGCAGACAGCAAGAAAGAGACAATTGTAAGTAGAGAGACACAAATAAAATAAGACTAAAGAATGTTGTCGACTGATCTATCTTTAAGACTTGGAATGGTTATCTCATTCTGCAAATCCAGTTCCTTCACGTGTGTATACTATAATGTTTTTTGATAAAGATGTATACTATAATGTTATTTCATTAATTTTAACTTTGTAGACGATCACCAAAATTAAAGTAGTAGACTCTTTAAGATTACTTTAGAAAATAATTAAATAACTTATTCATCATTGAAGCGAAAAGAAGATAAGACAGTATTTTGTAATTTATATTTGGATAAAGGTACTATAAAATACAAATTATTTAAGTTTTATATTTTGATTCCGAATATCAATTAGAAAAGACTATCTTATCTTTTTTGATGTACTACAAAAAATGTAACTTCAAATTTATTTTCTA